TAGAGGCCCAGCGCACTAAATTCATGCATGGGGAGTGGGCGTCCCTCAGCCTGGCTTGCACCCTCTCTCAATCTGGGACCCCTTGGGGGATGTCAGACTGCTGGCAGTCGGACACTCCTCTCGCAATCTGGGACTGCTGGCTCCTAACTACTCACCTCCCTGCCTAATCACCCCTAACCGCTCTCTGCCTGCCTGATAGGCCCTAACCTCTCACCTGCCTGCCTGATCACCCCTAACTGACTCTGCTTACCTGCCTGATCACCCCTAATCACTTCTGCCTTGGCCCTCACTGCCATGGCTTCATCTGGTAGGACATCCGGAATGACATCTGGAAGGTCATTCGACTGTCCAGTCTAATTAGCATGTTATGCTTTTATTATTATAGATTCTTACCAGCACATTTTTTAAAAAAGAAGAGTGAATGTTTATAAACAGAAAGGAACGTGCTTAAAGTAAGAAGAGACTGAAATATTGGTAATTGGCAAATCAAAACTGGGCCCTTCTCCCAAAGGGGAGGAGGCCTGGGAAGAAAACCAGAGCCATGTTGGAAAATTGGAACTACATTTTCTCTGTATATCTAAGTGTAGGGTCATTCTGACTTGATTTTTACAGTTTATTCTTTACTGTATGTTGTTTTAGAAGCCCCTCAAGCAAACCAACTATTCTAAATGAAAATAAAAATTTTAAGTTGATGTTAGGGGTAATAACTGGATTTTTCCATTTCATGAAGGTAATTTTCTAGAAATCTGCTTTGAAAGTTCCCTTAGAATGACTTGTCAAGAGATTCGCAAAAAATTAAACTACCTTGAGTACATCTTTTTATGAACTATCTATCGTGTTAGATTTGTTTTATGTTTGCTGGATTTTAAACTCCTGAATGGAAGAGAGTACATTTTCTTTTAGTGAACATAACACAATTTATTGTGGCCACAGTGTGAACTTGGTAATGGAGTGTCCTTTTATTCACCAGGGATATTAAGGGTATATGTTTTAAAGATGAATGAAATGATTGTGTTGAGTATTTGAGTATTAGTATATTTATTGTACTATAGCATTGTGCTTTTCACAGTTTCCTTCCTCCATCCTTTCCTTCTTTCCGTCCTTCCTTCCTTCCTTCCTTCCTTCCTTCCTTCTTTCCTTCCTTCCTTTTTTTTGTCTTTATACTTCAGGACCCTAGACAGCACATTTATTGAGGACACTTGGTGCACAATTGTCAGTCTGTATTTTGCTGGCCCCATTACTATTAATCTCTGCTCTTATTTGTTCAATCCACAGCTTCAGCTTTTGCTATTGTTTTTATTTCTTTCTGGTTGACCCTTATCCCCCTGTTTGTTTGTTTTTTTGTTGTTCTTTTCTGATGCTTTTCCAATTTGGCATTACTAGCACTAGGCTTTAACAGCCTTCTCCCAGTTTCATCTGGCCTCTGTCAGAGTGGGTCTCTGTGCTTTTAGTGTTGGCAGCATATCTTGCCCATTTTGGCTACAAATCATTGTCAAGCACTAATTTACTTCCAGGTTTGGGTCTGTACCTAAATACTGAGGCTGTGAGACATCCCATACATGAAAAACATGGGTATTATAATGCAGGAAAACAATTACGGCAAATAAACCAAAACATCTTTCAGATGAAATTTAAAAGGAGAATTTTAAAAATCAAGAAAGTGTGCTGCTAAATGGTAATCTATATAAAGAATTGACTTCTATTTATGTTTGGGATACAAATGAAGAAAATGGATTACCAGAATTTTGATATTTTAAATGAATCAGAAAATATAAGGACGTTCTTGATAAACCAAAATAAATACATACATAAATAAAATAGGGTCTTAGAGTGGAATGTGCCTTAAGGACTACACACTGGTGAGTGAAGTGCCTGTAAGAACTCCTGTAACAACGAGCTCTTTGAGCTGAGGAGGAGCGAGTGCTTTGTAAATGCCAGGTTATTTTTACAACCTTGATACTTAAGATGCTCCCCAAAGGTCAAGCATTAGCTCAGGAGAACAGAATCTTGAGAACACAAATATTTTCAGCTTTAAGGGATCAGACCCATTCACTTGGAGGAAGCATATACTCTTTAAGATGTGAGAAAAATAAAAATATTTTTATGATCTTTATGAATTTGGAAAATTTGAATGCCTTTTATAATTTTTCAAGTTATAAATAAGTAGTGTGTGCATGTACATGCAACCTTTATATTTTTGTTCACATCTAGAACAAAGTATGTGTGTGCATATTATGACTACTTCTATACAACATGCAATATATAGATGAGCAATTCTAACATCAGTCAAATATCCCAATACTTTGTTCAAACTCATTTCTCAGAACACCTACAAGGCTGGTATCAGGATCAACTTTTATGTGGGTATCTGTTATAAATACCCCCCATGCTTTATTTCCAGAAAGAGTTCAAATAACTGCAAGCAAATTCCTACAGCCAACGTAAATATTTCTTATTTTTATGACATATGGAAATGTTTTTGGATAGCTCCAACAAACGGGGCCATGGCCCAAACCTTAGGCTTCTTTCTCCTTATGTTGACAGATCAATACCTCACTATGCTGGGAGCACAGTTAACATGGTTTAGCCATCATTGGTACATTTTCCAGGAATGGCCAGGAGGTAGATGGAAGCCCATTTTAGAAACTATGGCAAATTTTCATCCAACCCCCGAATTTCTCTTTGCCTTTGAGTGTACTTTAGATAGCGATTACTAATTAACATTTTCAATTTGGCAAATAATGACTGAACTCAGAGCGAGGCACACTTTGGAATTGGGAATGTGTGAAAGAATTATATGAACAATAAATTACATGAACATACTAATATGGAAGCATACAGAAGACATTGACAGGGAGAAGGAGGAGGGAAATAATTTCACAGAAACCAAACAGCAAGACAAAAGGTCTGGAGGAACAAAACCCCATGGTATGTTTGGGGGAAAACTCTTTACAAAATCTTTCTCTTGTATGCTCAAAAGCGGGCATTCCCATCCCCTCTCCTTTGGCTGTTTGAACTGAAATGGGAGTGTGCTTTATAACAACTGTCATGAACCTTGTATCTGCATATTTAGCTTACTTTTCTTTCTAGAAATGTGACTACTGAGCAGAATGGACCTTTTCCTATATTTTTCTCTCATTTTCCATTTTAATTTGATCAGTTTTATTTTGGACAAGTACTATTTTCACATCACCAAGATGAGAGAGGGAATTAAAAATCATACATTCCATTATCTGCCTTTCGACCAGTTAACACTGAATTAGAACACACAATGTGCTTGACGTTGGCCTTGCAATTTCCAAGAAACAAATGTTTAAAGAGAAAATGACCAAAAACTGGAAGGATATTATTTCTGTCTTCATAACTATTCAAAGGGGAAAGGATGGAATATGCTGATATAATAAACTCTTAAGTTACTTTTACATGGTTATTTTGTGTGTGATAAAGTCAATTTCTGATAGAAATATTTTCCTTAGGTATTTTTAACATAAAAGTTCTAAATTTAGAGTAAAGAAACAATGTCTATCTTTATTCATAAATATATGAAAAAAATCACACAATTAACAATTCTAACAAACACTGAAAAAACTCCATTTGATCATCATATAAGAAAGCACAATAAAATGTTCATGATTTGTTAATCCCCACATACTTTTTGTCTTTGCCATTTAGGCTCACTCAAAGAGCTGAAACTACTGATTCTGTGTGTGAGTACCAAGACTCCATAGACTGTGGAATACACAATGCTGTGAAGAGGCGGGAAAGGGCATTCACTAGGAATCCTTAAAAGCAAAGATCGCAGGGATAAGGGAGATCCAGCTCTCTCCTCTGCCCTCTCAGGGCTTCTTTTTCTGGAGCTGCCTCAGAGGGTGGCCACTTGCAGATAGGAATTGAAATCCGTGCTGCAGCAAGCCCTTTGCTTCTTTCCTAGCCCAGTTTGCTTATCAAGGTGTCCCATGGCATGCAGCTGGAATCCTATTTCACAGCTTTTCTCAGAGAAGATGACATGAGGCCTCTTGATCCTCAGTGAGTGCTTTTAAAACTTTGGAAATTATCCAAAATGTCCACAAACTTAAGGGGAATGTCTATATTCGACATAGTTATCTAGTTACTCGGATTGTTCTGACTTCATAGGAGTATAACATAACAATAAACCCATTTGAAGATGCTATTTTGATGAAATAACCAATAATCTTTTCCTCTCCTCCTTAGACCTTCCCTCACCCTGACTCCCATACTAGTCTTCTATCTGATCTAGTGCCTCTAGTCTTTTTCCACTTCAGTCCATTTCTGGGTTGCTTCCCAAATGATCCTTCTCTTACATGACTTCATTACTGCCCTGTTTAATGATTTTGACAGTTCCCAGGATATCAAGATGAGGCTGTAGTTAACCTGAAGCATGGCATGCAAGGCT